GGACAAGGACTTGACCTATGAGGAGGAGCCGGTGGCTATTCTAGACCGCCAGGTTCGTCAGTTGAGATCAAAGAGTTATCCGTCGGTTCGTGTTCAGTGGAGAGGTCAGCCTGTTGAGGCAGCTACCTGGGAGTCCGAGTCCTATATGCGGAGCCGATATCCCCATCTTTTCACCGACTCAGGTACTTTTCTATGTCCGTTCGAGGACGAACGGTTGTTATAGAGGTGGAGAATGTGATGACCCAAAAGGTCATCTCATGTTTTAGAACCCAATTCGGGGTTTCGAGGCCTTCAAGACCTCATTTTCTTTCTCCTCGATTTGCATGCGCAGCTTCCGGAAAGCCTATATGTGAAAAATTGAGAAAATGCTAAACTTTGCCTTTAAAATTGAATTAAGTTGACTTCGGTCAATATTTTGGGTAAACGGACCTGAACCCGTGATTTGACGATCCCGGAGGGTCCGTAGAAAAATACGGGACTTGGGCGTATGCCCGGGATTGAATTTCGATGTCCCTAGCCCGAGAAAAGAATTTTTAAAGAAAATTATTTGCTGGAAAATATAAAGACTTTTGGAAATGAAATGGTGTGTGTTCTTGATGGTATCAGGCCCGTATTTTGGTTCCGGAGCCCGGTACAGGTCTAAAATAATGTTTAAGTCAAATCTGTGAAATTTGGTGAGAATCGGAGTTGATTTGATATAAATCGGGCCCTCGGTTGTGAAAATAGTAACTTTAGGTGTTCTTGAGAATTTCATTAATTTTGATGCTAAATTCATAGTTGTTGATGTTATTTTGATGATTTGATTGCTTGAGCAAGTTCGTATGATGTTTTTGGACTTGCGTGCATGTTTGGTTTGGAGCCCCGAGGGCTCGGGTGAGTTTTGGATAGGCCACAGAATGTTTTGAGACTTAAAAGAAATAGCTGTTGTGTTGCAGATCTGCAGACTTCGCATTTGCGAAGTCTGTCTCGCCAATGCGAGCTTCACATTTGCGAAGATCCATCGCAATTGCGATCAGAGGGCAAGGAGGGGGACCTTCGCATTTGCGAAGCTCAATGTCACAATTGCGACCTCAGCAGTCGCCGCATTGGCGAACAATAGTTCGCATTTGCGAAGTTAGCAGCCCAGGCCAAGCTTCGCATTTGCGATGCTTTGGTCGCATTTGCGAACCTGTCATCGCAAATGCGATAACTGCGACTGTGTAAATTATCACTTAGACGGGATTTTCATCATTTTTCAAATTCTCTCAAACCTTAAGCTCTCATAGGCGATTATCCAAAGAAAAGTTCTTCCCCAAATCATAGGTAAACAACTTCTAACTCATTTCTCTCAATCTACTTCATCTTTTTACAAGATTTCGTCATAAAATCTAGGGATTTTCATGGAAAATTGGGTATTTTTGGGTGAAATTTGGGAATTTCAAAATTTGGGGAATTAGACCTCAAATTGAGATCAGATTCCAAAACTAATTGCATATCCGAGATCGGGGGTGAATGGATAATCGGGTTTTGGTCCGAACTTCGAGTTTTGACCAAGCGGGTCCGGGGTCGGGTTTTGACTTTTTGCGAAAAATATTGGGAAATTCATATTCATGCATTAGAATTGGTTTAATTAGCATTTATTGATGTTATTAAGTAAATTATGACTAGATACAAACGGATTGGTGGTGGAATCGAGAGGTAAAACGGTGGCTGAGTGTTGAATTGTCCGTTGGCTTGAGGTAAGTGTTTGGCCTAACCTTAGCTTGAGGGAATAGGTGTTGTGTCTTATTTCCTACGTGTTAGTATTGTGTACGACGTATAGGTGTGGTGACGAGTATCTATACGTTGGTGTCAAGCATGCCCGTGAGTCTTATATTGTGATTGTGGTGATTCTCATTATGTACTATCCATGCTTAAATTGAAGATTATCCCTGTTGAACAAGATTATGATATTTTCTTGGTATTTGACCATTGTTGAGTATGTGTTCAAGTTGGGATTCATTTTGTGAAGATAACTATTGGAACAAGATTGGTTATAGTTGATTCCCTTACCGGGATTTGTATTTGTTTCCATTGTTGATTCCCTTGCCGGGATGTTATTGTTTCTACTGTTTGGGTGAGGAAAGAGTGATAAAGCACGAAGGGTGATGCCGTGCACATTTACATTTATATTGATGCATATGGTGAGGAAGAGTGATAATGCACGAAGGGTGATACCGTGCACATTTCCATTATTGATTGCATGGTGAGGATTGAGAGTAAAAGCACGAAGGGTGATGCCGTGCATTTGTTTTCTATTGCTGTGATTATTTGCTGTTATCGGTTCAAGTGCCTTGATTGTTTTGTTTCCGTTATTTCTGTGTTTCCTTATTCTGGTATCCCCCATAACATGTTGCCCTTTCCCGTAAACTTTTGATAGCTTCTATTATTGTTATTCTGTTAGATATTATTAACTGCACATGTTTATGATGTTGGTCGTGTCCTAGCCTCGTCACTACTTCGCCGAGGTTAGGCTCGACACTTACCAGTACATGGGGTCGGTTGTACTGCTGCTACACTCTGTACTTTTGTGCAGATCCCGATACTGGACCATACGGACCGTAGTTCGAGGTTGCTGCCTTCAGTCTAGTGAAGACCCGAGGTAGCCCTGCAGGCGTCCGCAGGCCTTGGCGTCCCCTTATATCCTGCTTCTTTTCTGTTTTATCTATTTCCGAGGCAGATTTGTATTTCTTTGTTCAGACCACTATTTGTAGTATTCGTAGACAGTCCGTGAAATTGTGACACCAGTTCTGGGTGGAGTTTTATTATGGATTTCGTATTTGTATTAAGATAATCTGTTAAATTCTGTTTTTCCGCATTTATTCCGCTGATTCTCGTATGATAATTCGTAAATTGTTAAAGGATAAAGTAAAAAGGTAAAATGATCAATAACGTTGGCTTGCCTAGCGGGTCCAATGTTAGGCGCCATCACGACCCTGACGGTGGGAAATTTGGGTCGTGACACAAGGTCAAGTTCAAGCTCAAGAATAAGATCATCGTTCGTGGCAACAACTACATATTCAAGATCAAGCTCAAAGGCCCTTGAATTTATTTACTATTGGAAGGAAGAACCAGAGGATTCATAGAGATTGTAACACTTATATGTTTGAAATAAAATACTACAATTGTAGCGATATTTTTCGGTCCTAATTTTATTTTCTCGACGCAAATTTATTATCTACAACTCCTACTGAAACTAAATTATTTTCAGCATATTCACTAGCAAGACACGAAATATTCTAGCGATCAGGAGTAGCAAACTAAATGTATTGAATATGTTTCCTTTTGTATGATTTAGATTTGTCTTTTTGAATATTTAATCTTCTATAGACTTTATTCTTGAGTCCCAACTTGGTTAATATCTTTGTACTCGTGTGATTTTTTTTTGTCTTTGCTTAGTTTCTTTTATAATGTTGTAGAGTAGTTGATAGATCTATATTATGGTCATCTTTCATGTTTTCTTAATTCATCACCATTTAAACAGTAAAACTGTTTGGAGAGTTTGGTAAGTCCTATAAAAATATATATGTTATTGCATTTTACTTTTACTAGCGACTTTTACATGACATTTAAAAAAAATACCGAAAATTAACCAAATCGTACCGATACCGAAGAGAAACCAACATGATTGGGATGGTTTCGAAAAAGTTTAATTTTGGTTATACATAATAGAATAACCGAAAAATTGGTATGGTACAAATTTTATAAATTAACCGGCCGAACCGAACCATTGACACCCCTAATTAAAAGGACAATGTGTAAACTTTTACTAACTCATACAAATATCATAGTCACCGAAATTTTTTAGTTGTATTTTCTTATTCCATGATTTCTTATTTTTTAATTTTATTTTCAGTCTAATGAATAATAATCCAATTAAAATTGGAATGACCCACCCGACCTAATAGCCATATATATAAATTAAAATAATACTAAAAGTAAATTCTTCAAAACACGATACTTCTATATATTTTTTTTCAAAATTTTCATTCAAATTGATAGTATTTTTGTTCCAAGTGCTCTCTAATTATACCTTTTATTTATGTTTTGTCAGAATCTCATGAATTCTGAAATAAATTTTTTGAGGGGGAAGGATTCACTTTTAGTAGTATTTTAATTGATGTATATGGGTATTGGGTCATGTTGGGTTGGGTCACTCCTATATATATATTTCTCCTATTTTAATTGAGTTATTATTTTTTAGATTGAAAATAAAAAACACAAAAACTTGGAACAAGAAAATATTATCGAGAAATTGTGTGTTCCGGTCGCTATGATTTTTGTGCGAGTTAGTAAAATTTTTATAACTTGTGTGTGGGAAAATAAAGTTATATAACTTTGATGAAAAACAATCATATTTATATAATCATTTGTAAAATTTACCTGTATATCTACAAACTACACTTTAGCTCGCAAAGTATCCACGACATGGAGTCTAACAGAGTAAAAATTGAACGCATTAAATTTTTACTTATTTTTTTAACTGCAGAGTGAGTCCAACCTTTTTAAAGCTTAAAACATAAGAGGAATGAAAAGAACTTGAATTATAACAAGCTAAACTCCAATTAATCTTGCTTGGAGTTAGGATTTTTATTAAATATTTTGTATCATGATCAGGATGTTTCAAGTATAATATGCAATACTGATTATGTTAGACTTGTAACAACTCATTGCAAGGAAAAATAACATCGAATTGAACGTAAATATAAAATTATATGTTAATTAATGTGTATTTGAATTGATTTATATTTGTATTACCACACAAATATAACCAAATCAGTATATATTAAAAGTTTATATAATATTTCCTTAAAAATGTATCTAGATATATTCGTGTTTGATTCCACCAAAATTCTTCACGATGCTATCTTATTTTCTCTTTATTTATGTTTATTTTTTGTCCAACAGCATTAAAATAGTATCGGGCCCCTGAGCCATGATGTAATTTGCATTAAATTGGGAAAGCAGCCATTCCAATAAAGAACATGAATTCTAAGTCAAACGTTCAAACTGACGACCAACCACTATACCCAAGAGAGAGACAATAACTCAAAAGCGGCGAAGGAGAGAAAGCACCGGAGCACCTCCTTTAATCTTATTATTATCATTCAATTCAATTCAATTTTTGCATCATTCCAATTTGATCTTCCCAAAAAACAATGAAGGAGGATTTTCCCCGCTAATCTTTCGTTGATCCTACAAAATTCAATCACGGCTCTTCTCGGATCTTTCGCTTTTATTCTAACAATTGATCATCGCCGGAAAGTGTTGACCGTTGACAATCCAAGTCTTCTGGTGGACGACAAGCACCGGATCCCTTCCCCTCACGGCGGTAGGGGTGCCTCTCCTTCTGAAGGCGGTTGCCCCTCCGATCTCCTCTTCCTCGCCGGCGGCGGTCCCCTTCTTCCTCTCTCCTAATTTTTCTTATTTGTAAAGCGCACATACGGATTTAGATACTGGTGTAGATTACGTATAGCATACGCAGAAAATATATTATTCATCATCCATCCAAGAATAATAGGAGGGGATGCTGACTATTAAAAGGGTGCCGACCGTTGTTTCCAATTACCAAGAGGATGTTCCTGATAGCAACAACGTAGTGGGTTGTGGCCGCAATTGCCTTGGAAAATGCTGCTTGCCTGGTTTGTCTTCTATTCTTAAATTCTCTATCTTCTGGGATACACGTTTTGCTGTGATTATTAGTTTTGTTGATGCTCAGCTCGTCTATATTTTGCGCAAAGAATCCTTTTCAACCAAAAAAAAATCTCTAGGCTGGGAATGAAACAGAAGTTGGAGGCCCTTTTCCTTTATATCTGGTTTAAGTTATCCTGGTTTTTGTTTAATATTTTCCATGTGGGTATATTTGGAATAATTGTTAAGAAGATTGTAGCTTTAAGTTAGAATTGAGCAGACAATTTGAGGATAGGGTTAGTATCTTAACTATTCTGCTTTCTAAATGGTAAACTTGTAGTCCACTATTTGTGGCTTTAGTGTTGCTTGCTGCTGATATGACCTCGTGTGTATCTTAGTTGGAACTTAAAAGTATGAGGCAAAAGTATCCACTTTGCAGATTTCTTAATGCAGACTTAAGCAAATCTCATGTTTTCTTAGGAAGGCGAAAGTGAAATGAGTGCCTGTGATGATTTTATTTATATAATAAATTATTTGGATCCTGTTCCTTAGTGGATGCATTTTGGTAAGTTATACGTGTTAAAAATGCATTTTATAATGTAGTCATTTTCAGTTTTATGTGTGTTGATTAGTTTCTTGATTGATTTCAGTTTCCAGGCTTCCTCTTTATGCATTCAAGAATGATGACAATGAGCCAATTGAAAACGATATTGATACCTTGCCTGGGGAGGATTGTCAGATATCTTTTTTGAACGATTTGTTGTTAGGCCTATGGGAAGAGCGGATGAGCCAGGGACTGTTTCGATATGATGTGACAACCTGTGAGACGAAAGTCATTCCTGGGAGATATGGTTTTATTGCACAGCTGAATGAGGGGCGCCACCTAAAGAAGCGCCCAACAGAGTTTCGCATCGATCAGGTTCTTCAGCCTTTTGACGAGAACAAATTTAATTTTACCAAAGTGGGCCAGGAGGAAGTGCTTTTCAGGCTTGAGCCAAGCACTGACTACAAGGCTCATTACTTTTCGGGCGTGGGAGTAGATGCTGGTATTTCACCTAGTATTGTTGCTATCAATGTAAGTAAACTGTGCTTTGGTTCTTTTCTGATAGTTATGATCAGATGCATTTCTTATGAAATCTTGTTTTTCAGGTGAGCCCAATCGAGTATGGCCATGTGCTTTTGATACCTCGAGTTCTTGATTACTTACCCCAGAGAATTGATCGTGATAGTTTCACGGTTGCTCTCTATTTCGCCAGAGAACTGGCAGATCCCTTCTTTAGGGTAGGTTATAACAGTTTGGGCGCCTTCGCCACCATAAACCACCTCCACTTCCAGGTAATAGGTTAACCAAAATAATTTTGAATTATTTGTTTAGCATGACCTATGTCTATATGACATTCTCTTACTGCCGTTCATGACAGGCATATTACTTGTCAGTGCCATTTCCAGTTGAGAAAGCACCAATGCGGAGGATACTGATAAGGAAGGGGCTGGGTGACACTGGAGTGGTTGTTTCCAAGTTATTAAATTACCCTGTACGAGGTTTTGCTTTTGAAGGTGGAAATGGAAGTACAGTGCGTGATTTGTCTGAGGCTGTTGTCAATTCCTGCATTTCCCTTCAGAATAAGAACATACCTTTCAACATTCTCATTGCTCAGTGTGGGAAGAAGATTTTTCTGTTTCCTCAGGTAAATAAATCTTCCTTCCTTTAAATATGTGGACTGTAGGTTTCTATTAGGTTCACCAGTACAGTCAAGGAATTTGTCATACTCTGCCGTTGAGAAGCTTTGATAAATACTTGTTAGATAAAAAATTACTTATCAGATTTGTTGAAAATGCAAAAATATGAATCTTTTTTTTTTTTTTTTGGCAAAAATATCAATTAAGATGCAACTGAAGAATCCATACCGAATCAGTTAACACCTGTTAATGCAAATTAGTGAACATATGTAGGAAGTCAATTTTGCTTGACGTATCTATGACTAGGGATTGGAAATAGGATAAAGTCGGATTATAATATGGTGGAATTATAATGACATTGGAAAGGGTTATAATGAGGGGATTGTAAGTGATACTTCACAGGGTTTTGATGGGATTGATGTAATTTCATTGCATGTTGGTTCGTCAACTAGTTGTGGATTTGTGGTTTGGGCGATGGTTTGGGGTTTGGATTGGGTGGGGAATACAGAGGCGGTGGCCTGATGGAAAGCAGCAGTGCACAGTGAAAGGGGCAGGGAAAGGGGCGATGTCAACAGGTAAGAGCCAAAAAGTGCAAGGGAGGGAAGTCAAGGTGCATGCCTCATGGGAATGCCTTTTTAGGACTCATTTTCCGGTGAATTAACAGAATAGATGATTTTAAATTGGGAAAAAAGTAGGAACTGTGAGAATACCCTTTATGTCAGACATTGTCCAACCAATGGCACACTTGTGCTCTTTAAACACTCTCAACAACTTTTCTTTCTGCAAGTTAGACAAATGAGAAGAAACAATCACAGGTAAAGTGTTAGAACTTCCCATATATGCATAATGAAGATGAGAGGGGGTTTAAGTTCCAGTTTGGGGGCCTCCTCAATAGAAGGTTTGTGTGTGTGTGGGGTGGGGGGGGGGGGGGTAGGG